ACAACTTGTGATTATTAGCTACCTTAAATAAAAGAGAGTAGGGCTCTTCAATAACCTCACTATCAAATTCCTGAAAGAGAACTCTACATCTATTCCTCCAAATAGTCTAACATATATTCACAAAAACATAATGCCAAGGCACACAATAAGTACTAGATAAACCCACTTTCTCCTGCATGTTCCAATCAAGCAAGTTGCATCTATTTAAAGTAAAAAACTTTTGACTAAAATCAGGGCATATAAACTCAAACCACCAATTTTTAGCATGCTTATAGTCATAAAATAAATACATAGTATCTTCCACTTCCTCATATCCGAAAAGGCAAAGGCCTAAAATAGCAAGTCCTTTATGGATCTGAAGGGTTGTTGTATGGACTCTGTTGTGTATAAGCTGTTAGAAAAGGTTCTTCATCTTCTCTGGGATGTTCCATCTCCAAACTTGTTGCCATATGGGTTCACAATTATCTGTCTGACCTGCAAGAAGAAAAGAATAACCAGATTTTATAGAAAAGTTTCCATCAGGTGAATGGATCCAAAAGTGTTTGTCCTCTTTGCTCTCCTTACACAGAGTGCATATGCTAGTAATATAGTCCACAACAAGTCTAGGTAGGTAGGGATACATTTTATAAACATCCCAATCTTTAGAAGGAAGAACATAGTCACTCACTTTCTCAATGTAATCAATAAATTCTTTCCCATGTTCCACAAAGTCAATAAGAGGCAATCTATTAGGGTCCATCTATCAAACCAAAAAGAGATTTGATTACTTGAAAAGATCTTCTTACCCACCCCTAATTGGAAAGAATTTTAGATTTTGTATACCTCCATGTGATAGAGTCACCCACCCTCTTCTTAATCTTCAAGGTACCTCCTTCACTACATCGATAATTAGATTTTAACACTTGCACCCATAAGGCCTTAGGGTTCCTAATTAAACCCCAATAAAGTTTCCTAATTAGATTTTGATGTTTCAAGTTTTGAATTCCCAAACCTCCATTTTCTTTGTGCTTCTGAAGGACATCCCAAGCTAAAAGATGCACTTTCTTTGAACTATCTTGTTTACCCCACAAAAACTCTCAACTCACTTTCTCCAACTCATTCAAGATGCCGATAAGAAGAAGAATAGTTTGCATGTAATAGCTTGGCAAAGATGAAATTACTGACTTAATCATGGTTGTAATTACTGACTTAATCAAGGTTATCCTCCCTACCATAATAAGAAACTTCCCCTTCCACCCTGACATATATTTTCTAGCTTTCGTCAAGATGAGCAAAAATAAACTATTAGTAACTCATCTATGGATAAGTGGAGTGCCTAAATACTTACCCAGATTACTCGTCAAACTAACATCCAGATCCCTACTGAGCTTAAGAGTTCTGTTAATATGGACATTAGCAGAGACAAAAAATCTAGTCTTCTCTTTATTCATTTTTTGGCTAAAGGCTTTGCAGAATTTAGAAACACACCTATTTATAGCTTCCATTTGTTTACAAGAAGCTTCACTAAAAAGAACCAAATCATCAATAAAGAATAAGTGTGAAAGGAGTGGCCCATCCTTTGCTAATTGGATAGGCTTCCATTTCCCTCTTGAAATTTCATTAGCAATGATATGACTCAACTTTTCTAGGCAAATCGTGAAGATGTAAGGGGAGATAGGATCCCCTTGTCTCAGACGACGAGAAGGCCTAAAGCTTCTGGAAGTCTCTCCATTCCATAAAACTTTAGCTGAAGGGGTACTAATATAAGCCATCATTACACTACACATCTTGTCACCAAAACCTACCTCTTCTAAACAATCTCTGATGAAGGACCATTAAAGCCTATCATAAGCTTTCTCTAAGTCCACTTTTAACTACAATGAAGCCCTTTTCCGCAGTCTTTCTCATCATGGAATTAATCACTTCTTGTGCTATAATGACATTATCACCACTTTGCCATCCCGTAATGAAACTACTCTAATGCTAGTCAACAATCTTGTCCATAATAGGCTTAATTCTATTGGCAATAATGTTGGATACAATTTTATAACTCACATTACAAAGAAAGATAGGTCTAAAATCTTTCATAGTCTCAAGTCTCTCTATCTTAGTTATGAGAACGATATGAGTATTGTTAATCCCTTCTACTTTCTCTGGGTGAAGAAAAATATTTTTCACAAGAGAACAAATTGAACTTCCTAATACTTCCCAATATTGTTGGTAAAAAATAGCTTGAATTCCATATGGTCTTGGTTCTTTGAATCCACCCATCTCAAAAACTGCTTGTTTGATGTCTTCATCAGAGATCTCCCTAGATAGAAATGCAATATCCTCACTTACCAAACTTGGAAAAGAAGACATAGATAGTGTTAGGGCTTGCATTCTTGGTTTTGAATTAAAGAGGTCATGATAATACTTTAAAGCCAATTGTTTCAGCTCCTCCTTATCAAAAACCTAGCTACCTTGATCATCCTTGAGAGCTTCAATCCTATTCCTTCTTTATTTAATTTTGGTAGTAGCATGAAAAAATCTATTGTTCCTATCCCTCCTCAAGCCATTTGTATCTAGATTTTTGATATGATAGTAACTCTCCTTGGGCCAGGACTTTATTATAATCTTTCCAAAGCTCTACTTCCAACTGCTTGAGGTATTAGAAATCTCTCCCGCTTATAGCTCGATCAATACCTTCAATTCTTCTTAGCAACTGATTCTTTTTTTTTAGGAATATTACCTACTCTAGATTTGTTCCAGTGAGTTGCAGTAGATTTAAATTTTTTTGATCTTATCACACCAACTTTCTTCTTGCCAACATCATCTAACCACATCCCAAAAGCCTTCCTTAAGGAACCAAGCTGCTTGACATTTGAACAGAGACTGTCTTTGATGAACACCCTGTTGATTTGAATCTCTTATGAGAACAACTCTATGATTCAATCCAAATCTAGTCAAATGATAAGCCTTAAAATGGGGAAAAGAGGTAGCCCACTCGCAATTAGAGAAAACCCAATCAAGCCTTTCCTTCACAAAGTTATTATCTCAAGTGAACCGATCTCCCACAGTAACCACTTCCAAGAGACCTAATTTAGATACCTTGTCATTGAATTGTTTAACAGATAACACATCAGGAGCAGCACCCCCAACTTTGTCTTCAGTTGATAAATAAGCATTGAAATCACCTACTACCAACCAAAGACCCATGATACTGTTTCCCAGTAGTTCAGGATTGTTCCAAAGACTTTTACCTAACAAATAATTAGTCTCCCCATAAACACAAGTGAGCTAGAAAAAACTAGAGATGAAACATCTGAGTATTAGAGCACACATATTCAACTGAGAGATAATTATTTTTTCAAAACAGCCAAATCCCCCTAGCATAGCCCATGGCTTTCACTCTGAACCAATTCAAAAAGCCCAGTATTTTTTTATGCTTTGATTCATGTTCTATTTAAATAAATAAATAAATAAATAACCACCTTGCTGTTTCCTCTCCCTTTTTCTCTTTCAAAAAGAGCAGCGAAACTACATCCATATTCGTGACTGTAATCTGATTCCCGCACGTGATGGAAGGGAACTTTTACCGCCACTCGAAGTATGTTTTTGAATTCTAAATTCCTCCACATAAAAAAAAAATCAATAAATTTGTTAACAAGATTGTAAGTTGAAAATAAGCAATAAAATTCAAAGGAAAATATTGAATTATTTTATTAAAAGAATTCGTTCTTCTAATTCCATTATAATATTCATGGGAGTAAATTCTCTAAAGTTGATATTCATCAATATTTATAAAATTTCTTTTTTAATATTTTTCCGATCTTATTTTGTTTTATAGAATATAAATTTAGTCTCCTTTTTTTTACAAAAACATTTTATAAAATTCATGGATTTTTTCTCAAATTATTTATAATTAATACATTGAAATCTACTACTTAGATTAATTTTAAGGAGATTTTCTTATAAATACATAGCTTTCTTTCTGTATTTTGAAGAGAAGACAAGACAGAACGGGTTAGAGTACAAATTAAAATGAAGTACAAAATAACGAGATAAATACAAACAAACCCTTAAAAGGCAAAAAAAAAAAAAAAAAAAAGACCAACCCTCCTCGCTCCACCAGTCCAATTGTCATCCGTATTTGAAATTGCAATTAACTCTTGACTTATATACACAGAGAAAGTGAGAAGGAACCTAATAATCTAATACCATTACTGAGAAGAAAATTACTTCAAACATTTTACTCATTTGAAATTTATACTCAGAAGGAATCTGATCCCATACCATTATAAGCTATACTTCATTATTTGTCCTAATGATCTAGATCCGTTGGTTTTCCCTTCTTCTCCTGAGCCACTGAACCAAAATGATACCCTTCTACGGTTCTATGTATGTAGCTTACCTGTAGGTTTCAAGCTTCATTGCAATGCAATATTGCATTGTCTTTTTTTGGCCAAAAAAAAATTGCATTGTCTTTTCCTGCATTTTAATTTTCGATTAATTAATAATAAAAATACCTGCAAAAACTCACATGCATAGCTGATACATCTCCATCAGCATCAGATACGTAGTTTTTTTCTTAAAAAAAAAAAAACTTGTAAGGTAGCTCATTTGCAGTTGCAGGTCTGCCACTGCCACCAGCTGTAAACGAAATCCCCTCAACTGGTTTGCTTGCGATCTCTTTCTCTTCCTTCATATTTATTCAGTTCCAAATGAAATGGGTTCGTTTTCTGATACATAGCCATTTGCCCAATCCCTCTCTTCTTTCCATAATTATGCAAATCTCATCTCTCTCTGTGTAGACCCCACTCCACTAGCAGTAGACCCCATCCAGTACTTTTTTTAAAAAAAAAAAATTCTCTCATATCAATCAAATAGGATAATCAATGCTCTCTGATTAAAGCCCCAATTGTTTTGTCAAGACACAAGGAAAAATAATTGGGTGGTCCATTTATTATGTTTCTTAATTAATTAAAAATTCTTGATTTTTGATAAATCTCTCCGAAGTGCGACCCTGGATTTCCAAGACCTTTATTCTCACCATTTCTCTCCCCCGGGTTATTACATGCTTCTTCAAATCCTCTTGTGTCTATAAATAGAGGAGGGACGTGTTGGTTGTGTTGTAGTATTTTTCACACTCTGATCTTTCTTCTCTGGGTCTCTTTGGATTCATTGGGAGGGAAGAAAGGCGGAGAATTTGAGCGGATATGAGAGAGTTCTGGACCTCTTTTGCGTCGCTTCTGGGTGTGTTTGCTTTCTGTCAGACTCTTCTTCAGACGGTGTTTCCGCCGGAGCTCCGGTTTGCCACCGTCAAGTTCTTCAACCGGATCTTTAACTGGTTCTCCTCCTACTGTTACTTCGATATTACGGAAATCGACGGCGTCAATACCAACGAGCTCTACAACGCCGTTCAGCTCTACCTCAGTTCCTCCGTCTCCATAACCGGAAACCGCCTCAGCCTCACCCGCGCTCTCAACTCCAGCGGCTTCACCTTTGGCCTCGCCAGCAATGACAGCATCGTCGACACCTTCAACGGCGTCAATGTGCTGTGGGAGCACGTCGTTACGCCGAGGCAGGCCCAGACCTTCTCGTGGCGGCCGCTTCCGGACGAGAAGCGAGGCTTCACGCTCCGAATCAAAAAGAAGCATAAATCTCTGATTCTGAATTCGTACTTGGATTACATTATGGAGAAAGCGAATGAGATTAGGAGGAAGAATCAGGAACGGTTATTGTACACAAATTCAAGAGGTGGGTCCTTGGACTCTAGGGGCCACCCTTGGGAATCGGTGCCGTTCAAGCATCCCAGCACGTTCGATACTCTCGCGATGGACCCGGAGAGGAAGAAGGAGATCATGGAAGATCTGCAAGATTTCGCTAATGGTCAATCGTTTTACCAGAACACGGGTCGGGCCTGGAAGAGAGGTTACCTTCTGTACGGTCCTCCAGGAACTGGAAAATCCAGCATGATCGCTGCAATGGCGAATTACCTCGGGTATGATATATACGACCTGGAATTAACAGAGGTTCATAACAACTCAGAGCTGAGGAAGCTTCTGATGAAGACGAGCTCGAAATCCATTATCGTGATCGAGGACATTGATTGCTCAATCAACTTGACGAACAGGAAGAAGAACAGCAATAGTAGTTCGAGAAGTTACTATGATCCTGGTACTGAAATACGAGGTGCTGCTTGTGGCTCTGCTTGCGGTGAAGATGGTGGGAATTCAATAACACTTTCTGGGTTGTTGAATTTCACTGATGGGTTATGGTCTTGCTGTGGGAGCGAGAGGATTTTCGTGTTCACCACGAACCACATTGAGAAGCTTGACCCTGCTCTGTTACGAAGTGGAAGAATGGATATGCACATTTTCATGAGCTACTGTTCCTTCTCATCACTCAAGATTCTTCTCAAGAACTATCTGGGATGTGAAGAAGGTGATTTGGACATGTCTGTTATGAAGGAATTAGAGCAAGTGATCGAGAAGGCACGGATGACTCCGGCCGATATTAGCGAGGTTCTGATTAAGAACCGGCGGTTCAAGGAAAAAGCAGCGAAGGAATTGTTGGAGACGTTGAAACTGACGGCGGGGAGGAACCAAAAAAATGGAGTCCTGAGAAGACCAAACGGTGGGGTTGAAGACGAAGAAGAAGAGCAAGAGAAAAGAGCTCTGGAGAGTCCCAAAGAAGAGTCAGAAATAGCGGACAGTTGCAGCAAGGAAGGTGAAGAAGCAGAGGAGGAGGAGGAGGAGGAGAGAAGAGAAGATCAAATGAAGGATCCACCAAACTGGAATACAGGAACAGCAAAAAAACAGAGACTCCGCATTTGCTCTTCAGAAAGATTTTAATGGTAAGCCAATGTGGGGAGGCAATATAAAATAGAAAAAAGAAAACAACCTTGAAGGGAACCTGAGAAAGATGAAACATGTCACACAAATCATCGTCAGTATCATTATGTGTTCTTTTGAGTTTTGAATGACTTCTGCATTACTTGATAAGGTTAAAAAAAAAAAAGTTGAGCTTCAATTGATGAGCAGTAAGTAGGTAAGATTATGATTTGTGGAATCGAGAAATGTTTTGAGTTGGAGGGGCTTTACAACCTGACATTGGTGGTAAGCCAGCTGGGATGTTGGTGAACATCTGGGGTGCACATGGCTTTGGCGTAGGGTAGGAGCTTGATGGGACTTTGTTAGGGAATATAGCAAATTTTAGTTGGGAATCACCTCACAACACTCGATTCAATCCAAACTTACTAAAAACTTGTTGGCATTGAAAGTGAGTTCTTGATGACTATCTTTATATATTTTGAGGCTACTGCATATACCAACCATCATCATCATCCTGGATGGCACGCCTTAAATCTGTTGTAATTGTATGTAAGGTGTACTGTTCTTGCCTTTTAAGGCTGTTTCTTACTGGCAATGTTCACTTAATAGTTCACTGATAATTTAATGTGTCTTGGGTGGGGTTGGTGCTTGCAGAGAAATCATTCTTTGCTAGTTGAGAATAACAGTGTTATCCGCTTGCAAGTAGTTTAAAATTAGTGATATGGTATCAATCATTTTGATTATTTAAATATTTTGTTCTTTAAAATAAATATATTTATATTAAATTTGAATGATGATATATTCTTTTGGAAAAATGTCAGAAAGACAGTTATGTTTTAAAAGAGTGAATCAGTGACAATTAGATTCCTAATAATTGTTTTTTTTTTTGAAAAGAAGAGTTGCTAATATCAATTAAAATATTTTAAAATCAGATTCTCAGTCTCCATTGCAATTAAGTCATCTAAATTTTAAACATAACTTTCATTGTATGCAATCAATTTTGTAGAAAAAAATAAAAGATTTGACCTTCATTAATTCGTTCTTTTGAGATTTAATTATCATTTTTCTTATTGTGTTGCTTGATGAAGGGATAACAACTGGATGTGTACCGGATAAAGGAAACCTAAAATATTCACTAGAGGCATAAAATATTGAGCCTGATGAGTACAAACGATGTACTAAATACAGAAAGGATCACTAATCTCTGTTTACATTATATGTTTACATGGATAAGTACGAGTGCTATTTTGGGCAATGGAAGGAAGGGGAGTTTTTGGATGAAGCAGAACTGGAGAGGACTTGATCACACAGGATCATGAAATGGGGGCACAAGGAGCTGCGAGAATTATTTAGTACGTGAGAGGGTGTGATTGGATGGATTGGCCCTAAACTGGGTGTCTGAATGATGATTTTTTTAAAAAAATACTGTGCTAGGGTGGATTGGAGGGAATGGGAGGGGAAAATGGGGAAAAAAGTAAAAGGCCAAAAAGGAGAGGCTGTGAAGTAACAAAAGGCTATAGAAAGTCATGAAAGTTATTATGAGGAAAATGGATGCTGATTTTGATAGTGAGTTGGAAAGACTATCACGTTGTCAAGCTTGTGGCCTCTCACCGGCCAATCTACTGACGACGACAAATTTGCTCTCCGTTCCATTGATGTTATTTACAGGGCATGAGATTCATTTAGGTCGGATTTGGTTGGAGGAAGAAGAAGAGGAGATAAATTTTACTTTCCTTCCTTTATTTGATTTGAAAAAATTAAGGGAATGAAAAGAAAGATTTTAAAAAATCTCTTCTCTCCTCCGAATTGAGGGATTGGAAGGGAGGGGTTTTTTGATTGTACAGTAACCAACATGCTCCTTTTAATTGCTCATTTCATCTTTTTAATAAGTTCAATAATGATATATTTTAATAAATATTTGATAATGATAATTATTTATATACTTATAGTTACATGGTAAAAATATTCATAATTCTATTTATTAAAAAAATTAATAATGTGTAATGGTAAAGTTGTTTATATATACTTTATTTTATTGTCTCTGCTCCTGAACCAAATAAGGTAATATTAAAGACTTGTTTAGTTTCTAATTTCATTTATTTTTTTAAAAAAAGTTTTGTAATATTTTTTAAAGTTGTTTTTCATACAATAAAATGAAAATCTATTTGATTATGTCAATTAATAAACAATTTCAGAATTTAAAAATGAACTAATAATGATTATTATAGGCAGTTAATGATGTAGATTAATAATATAGATCGATCAAAGTAACTATGATTTTTAATAATCGAATGTATTGTATTTTAAAAACAAGACAAATAAAATGAAAACAACTAATTTGTTTCTATTTTTTTGTTTTTGAAAATAAAAAATGAAAATATTTTGAAAACAACTAATTGAAAAATACTTAACTAGATAGGTTTTTAAATTTTTGTTTTAAAACTGAAAACAAACAAGCCCTAAAAACTCTCTCCTTCCCTTATATTAAAATCTTTTCCCTTAAATCAAATACACCCTTTGATTATTTATACGTTATAATATGATTTTTTAGATAAGATATTTAAAATGTGTTTTTAAAATTACTTTTTACAGGAGAGAAGAATTATCATGGCATTACTTGTTACATTTTTTATATATAAATATATTTAAAATTTACATATGTTTATTCATGTTATTTTTTATATTTTAATATTAATATATTGGTAAAAATAATTTATAAAAAGGACTAGAGAGAGTTCATAGCATATTATAAAA